ATGTTTTACGCAGACTCGTGTGCTTTTGATGGATGCCTCTATGATGGGTCGTGGATGATTAAAGCGTAGAGGTTTACCTATGCAATAAGGTTACTTATTACATGATGGTTGAATGTTATGCTATCATGATTTTCCAATACTCGGTTTGAAGTTGAAGATTGCTTATGTAGGAGAAAGATTCGCTGGAGATTATGAAAATACACAGAGAGCTTGCCCCTATGTGGAATATGTTGGATCTTGGAGGAGATTCTCATGGATATGAGATTGGAAATAGTTTTATCATAATATGAACGACCTCACTATCTTGAACTATGCCCCTGATTAAAAGACTCATGAAAATGTTTGGCTTTGATGAACCATTTTGAATCAACTCCTTTTGATCGAGCCTCGCAGTGGTTTTCCCCAACATTCGAATTTTGAAAGACGTGCCCCTCAATCTCCAGGATCTAGAGGAAGTACCCTCAGAAAGAACTTAGACCTCACCATGAACTTGACATAGATTTCCTCAAGTATTTGAAGGTTGAAAAGTTTGTACTTGAAGTTGCTTGAAGGGGAATTTGGACCCTACGTGCAGTAGGATGAACTTGGTACGTATTTCCCCAACATTTGAATCTTGGAAGGTTACCCCTGATTATCAAGGCCTTGAGAGATTTGTTAAAATGAGGAAACCGAGTCATACCCTGTTGTGATATGACTTGATTAAGAAATGCTCATTCAAAAGGTATGCCCATGATTGAAAAATGCTTTGAAACTTGATCCGAGTTGATTGAATCTCGGAATGATCACCCCTTGTCAATAGTATCTTCATGTGATATACCCCTACGATCATTAGTCTTGCCTATGATTATAGGGTTCTTCCTTAGATGCTTTCCCCCCTTGAAATGGATCGCTTTTTATTAAACTAATTTTTTTCCAGGTCTCCTTGATGTTAAGTATTGATTCATAGATAAAATTGTACATTTTGAAAAAGTAATTCCGTTTGATGCACGTGCAAGTTTTGAAATCGAAGTTTGAATAGAAATGGATGATTAGAGATGGAGGTTCAAAGAAGTGGTTAGTAATAATTTTAAGAAACACGGGAGACAGTTTAATGTAAATTTTGCCGAGTATGATTTCATAGTTAACCTTGCTTCAATTAGGACTTTTGAAGGTTGTAACATGGCTATGATTCTTGGTTTAAGAAACAAAAGATATAAGGCTTAAAATTTGTTTAGCCCGCCCCATTCTCCTTGATGTTCTCCAGTCCTAATTTCAATTAATGCAATAGATGTGTTTAATCTCCAAGAGAAATTTTATAGTCGCGCAAATGATGAGAAGCATAGATAAATATCCAAGCACCGATGAAAATCATTGATAAGATCCAAGCATTGATAATATCCCTTGATGATTTTTGAGGTGGCAGTCACAAGATTATTCTCCAATTTTGTTTTCAATCCCTTATTTTTGCATGGACCGGTTCTTTTAAATTTTTTGCTCCATCGGGATGCCCTACCTTTTGCGTAAGTCAAGTTTTTTTTTTACTTGACTTAGCGGGCTTTATTTTTTTCTTTTGAATTTCTTTTTTATTTTTTGATTTTGACACTTGTGACTGTCATGCTGATTGTTGTAAGCTTCGTCTTCATTGTTTCCTTGATCTTGATTGATGTACTGAGGAAGAACACGTCATAGACTTTGTCTTTGTTGATTCCTCAATCTTGGATGATGAATGCAAGGAAAAGGATGCGTTTTGAACCTTTTCTTAGATTGTTTCCTTAATGATGTATCAAGGAAAGATATGTGCTTGAACCTTTTGTTTAGATAAATCACTTCTCTTGAGAATAGAATGCACCATTGAATTAATTGAAAGACTACCCTGCCCCTGGTTAAGTTTAAGGATTTTTTTTTTGAAAAATAGAACAAAACTCCAACTCCTGGCTCGAGGCGGTTAACTACGGATTAACTCCTTATTTCTCCACTGTTTAGGAATTGAAATAATGCCTTACGTCGTCAGCTCGGTCTTACCATTGAAAGCATATTTTAGCAAAATTCAGTTATTTAATTTACATCATTCTTTCTCAAAGTTTGTTGAAGAAAATTTGAAAATGGAAAAGAAGATTTGAAATGGAAAGTAGTTGATTATTTATGGAAAGTAATGAAAGATGAAGAGTGAAACAAATGAATTTATTTCAAAAACATGCATGATTATTTTATTAGAATTACTGATCCAAAGATGCAAATTTACATCAAATGAAACTTAGCAACTAGGAAATTACAATTTGTAATTGATAAAGCCTAATGATCCTATGGAAGAACTTCTTTGTTAATCCACGTGACTTCAGGAGATGCTTCGTAGTTTTTAGACTTGTCAAAGCATGGGGGTGACCCTTGACTTCTCTTCAGGCATACCAATTCTGTTGATAGGGTAATGAGGGAATCACCAATGAAATTTGAAACTGAGGCGTTGCATAGGCTTGTATAGTGAAGGGCTTCCTTCTCTCCACAATAAGATTTGCAGGACCAAGCTCCTTTGAATCTCCAACATTTGACATTTCCTTCACCAATCTAAGATTTTCTTGAAATGCTTGGACTTTGTTCTTGAGCATCGGGAAATTTGTTAGCTGGATTGATAGCAACCAAGAGCGAAGGTGGAAATGTATGGATGTACGAAAATGCATGGGTATGCAAAATAATTTTTTTGGCTTTTGGGTATGTAAAAAAAAGTTTCATGGATATGCAATGCGATGCAAACATAGTATGAGGGTAGACGTAGGGATATCCTATACAGGTTTAATGGTAGATATGGAAATGATGATGTCCTACACTGACTCAGAGACTGAGACAGACAGGAACTCCTTAAGGACGTAGATAACGATAGACATGGATATGATGATATCCTACATTGCCTCAGAGATTGAGATAGGCAGGAATTACTTAAGGATTATAGACAATGAAAGATGATGAGGAATCCCTACAAGCTAGGGATTATAACATAGATGGAATCCCTACGGGCTAAAGATAATAGTGGAAGAAAAGATAACCCTTGCAAGTTTACAGATTGTAGTGGGATTTGTGAATGGTATCCTTAGAAGGTAGCTTCCTATTTTTGGCATACGGATTTTCTACCCTCCCCATAAGGTGGTTCCCTTAAGAGTATCATGGATAACACTAGAGGGAAAGGCACAAGGGCATCCCTTAAGTGGAGCCTCTTTGCAGACCGAAACCTTTGTCTCTAGGTCATGAAAGGTCTCGTCATGAGATTTTGGTTTAAGGGTTGTACAAAGAGTCATAGGTGTCATCCAAAAGTCCTACTTCCCAAGAGGATGTCTCTTGAGAGATATTCCTTTCGTGGAATTCCACTGTCTCTAGGTGAAGTCGTCACATAAACTCATAGGGCTGATGTATCCCCTTGGCTAATAGACGAACCTTCTTTCTAAGTTTTTTTGAAAATATTTTTTGCAAAATGATAAAATTCCACCAGAGATATAATAATATGATAAAAGTAACAATAAATAAATGAATAAAATAATAAATAATATAATGAGCAAAGATAAATAAATAATTAAATAAATAAGAAATAAAAACCCAAAATAAAAAAATAACCTAAAACCAAAAGGCAAGGCTTCTAAACCTAGGGTTTAGTCCCCAGCAGAGTCGCCAGCTGTTGTAACCGATTTTTAAATTGAGAGTCGTCAACCTTAATTTTTATCCTAAAGAAGGGAATATAAAGCATAACCCTAAAAATTCAGTGATTCTAGGATTTTTGACTCGGTTTTAGACGAAGGAAAGGTATTAGGCACCCTTCATCTACCTTGTTCACAAGGATACTAGGTTTAGAAACATGATTTTTAGGAAATAGGGTTTTAATGTTTTATTAGAGGAACTCGCCATGATTTTAATCATATGCATACGTATCCTCTTATGAGGAATCAAAGTCCCAATTCGTAGTTCGCAGTTTAATTGGTGTTTTTTTATAAGATCACGTAGAATTGATTTTGAATTATCCTTTAACCTTATCTGGGTTGAAAATTGTGTGAGCGTAGATGTAGTTCGCAGTTAATTTGAAAATAATTCAACTTAATCCTTTTTTGAAAATAGCTTGGGGTTTTGATTAAGTTAGTAAAAAATGGTTTGATCGTTGGTTAGTTATTTTGAATTTTGAATTAATGACGCGTATGGTAGGGCATAGAGCGAGGGAGTCTGATATAGTCTCCTCATCACCTAGCCAAATATTGGCTATGCGTTGCTCGTCATGGAGGATGCAGAGGGAATCTGATAAAGTTTTCCTCATCACATTATCAGATATTGGCCACTTGTCGTCCATTGGTGAATTACTTGGTTTTTAATATCTTTGTATAATATTGAATTAACTTAATTTAAGAAAAAGGTTTTAATTAATTAGAAAATGTATTTAATTAAATAATCTAATAAAATATGTTTTGTATTTTGAATAACTAATTGGTAAACGTTAAGTCTATCACTAATTACTCGAGGATGTGAAATTCGATTACGGATAATATGTCAAAATTAAATAATTTTTTGTATTTTTATAATGATATATTTTTTTTTAGAGAAATTAAATAAATAAATAAAAGAAATATCTAAATTAAAGTTGGTGCTAAATTAACAAGAGTTGTCACTATTAGATCAATATATGGCCTAAGGCCCATTTCAATATTTGTTAAAGTTAATCCTAAAAACTAAAGATAAACTAATAATAATAATAACAATAATATAAGTAACAATAAAACAGAGAGAAAAATTATTGATCCCAAATTATCTCTTCTTCCTTCACGGTATTACTTTTTCTACCTTCACAATCCCTCTTTTCAATTTCTTTCCAAACAAAATCAACACCGATAAATCTCATACACAAACACATTTAATCAAACATGTCTTAATCAAAAGCAGAATAGAAAACAAACCGGAGGATGCTAAAGGAGAATGACTTTGCGAATATGAGCAGAATAATGATGATTACGTAGAGGCGACTGCGGTTGTCTCCGGATTTAAAGGGGAAACGGTCAGATCGTGGAAGTTTTGGTGGTGGATCTCTGACGACGTTGTTGACTTGTGCGAAACGGAGGGCTCTCATTGACGTTTTCACCGGCTGAGTTGCGTGTGCAGTTCTCGCAGTCGGACTTCAGATTTATCGGATCTTGTGGTGGCGTTGATGAAGGCTGATTGAAGGTGGGCTGGCTGCACCGGTGGAGAGCTCTGTTCAGCTTGTGGTGTTTTGTTATAATGTTATTTTTCAGGTTGTTGATTAAGACCGGCGGGTTTGCGGCCGAGTTGCTTCCTCTTTCCGTTTCTTTGATTTGTGGTATCGTTTGTTTTTTTATCTTTGTTGGTAGTGATTGGATAAAGTAGAAATCAAAGCTCATTAGAGATAAAATTCAGAAATTCTGCAATTTGTTAGTTGGTAGTAGATACAATATATCAAATATTAGAGTAATAATGATATATCAATTGAGGCGGTGATGATGTTGTATATAAGTTTTGCAACACAAATTGATTTCAAGAACTAATTGGTTAATTTTTTCTAAGAACTAAATTACAGATATCTTGTATATTTACCAAGATAATACTAATAACAAACATCATGAGTTGTAATCACATATAAGTTAAGAAAATGTTAACATAAACAAAAAAAGTAGCGATAATTCATATATTTACATGAATCTATTATGATGTTTATAAGTAAGATAAGCCAAAACCAAAAGCATAAATTCTCTATAACTGTGTACAAATTTGGACAGTGTGTATTGAATGTGTGTGGTCTGTGTGCAATTATGAATTGAGAGAATAACTAGTTTTGTCAAGAAATAACTTTTAAACACAATTAGACCATCAGATCATCATCATATAGTTAAAATAACAAACCAATTAAAAAATAGAATTGAAAATTAAAGGGGGGTCTCGTATGAAATCATCGGCCAAAACAAAAATATCCCCAACAGTATTAAAAAGAAAATTTTGAAAGAAGAAGAAATTTGCAACAAAAAAAATGAAGTGTGTGTGTGAATGAGTGAAATTGTGAGAGATTGTAAAATTGTGGATGAATTTTTAGGACAAATAAGAGTCATATTTATAGACTCGAATTAGGTTAGAAAAAACTTAGAGACTAAGTTATCCAAAATTTATGAAAAGCCCAAGCCCGATTTCCAAAAAAGGAAAGAAAATTAGTAACAAAAAGAAATAGAAAAAATATTAAAAAGTGCAACATAAAAGATTTGAACCTGCGACCTTAGATTTGCAAGCTTCATTCTTTACCAACAGTGTTATGTTACCAATTGAAAATAAATGAAGACGAGAAAGTATTTGTTATTTAAAAATACAAATAATTTAAAATAAATTATTATATTTTTAACTGGACTTGAGAACGAATATTTATAAAACCCCAAAATATTAATGTAATTAAACCAAAGGAATTTTAAAGCCCAAATTCGAAAATAAATTTGACGGTTGCACTAAGGGCGGAGAAATTTGGGGTATGACATATGGAACATGATTCTAAATGCGTGTAATGAATATGACTATTGTATTTGTGTTGTTATCGTGAAGTAAATGTGGTTCCCTCTTTGATATACATGCTAATTTACTCTGATTATGCTACTTATTTGTGCGGGGGTTTTAAAGGGTGTTACATTTGGTTTAAGTGTGGGAGAGGAACTTTACTTTTTCTTGCTTTCTAGTTAGATTTATTACTTTCTAGTATAATTATTTAGGATTTCTTTTTCTAGTTCTAGTTTGTTTATTTGGTTTATCGAGTTGTTGCATGTGTTGTCGAGTCTTTATGCGTGGTTTCTGCAGTTTATTGTATCTTCCCTTTTCTTGAGCTATATCGGAAAATTTTGAGAAAAATAAAGAGAAAATAGTGCAAAAATTATGAAATTTTAGGCTATTAGACCAGTTAAGGATCAGTTGTAAAGACTTTAGAAAATTCTCAAAAGATTGGTATCATCTTAACACCGTAAGTATCTTGATGATAGAAATATGTATGCATAGTTACTATGGCCTTGAATTCTCACCTCTAAATAAGTACTTAAGTAGTTTATCTTAACAATCAGCACCATCTTAAGCATACTCTACATAGGGAAGCCAATGAACATGACTGAATGATCCAAATTTTAAAATAATGAAAAATAGGAAATGCACCTTTTAAAGTTAAGTGACCCTCACCCAGTATCATAACTCAATGGTTGTAGAACCTGCCAAAAATAAACCATTGTCAGTTGGTTCAGAGGTCTCTGGTGCTGAACTTGGTAGGGCGGATTACGGTCTGATCCCTCCACAACTGACATTAGGTAAACAAAAGAGGTTATACCGCTTTAAGTACCAGAACCCCGTGCAAATAAAGAGGATTAGAGTCACTAATCGGTCACCTTTCTATGAGTGTGTACGGATAACAGGCTTAATATGATTGCGCCTGAAAGAAAAAAAGACGAAAAATGGGATGAGTAAGTCTGACCTAAACATAATGATATGGTGTAGATTGGTTTTTATAGGAAGGAGAATTATGACCGCAAATACGGAATGTGTCATTACGATATCCTTAGTTTTCGATTTAGTGCCTATCGGTACAACCATGCCCAAAGTAAAGTATATAGCCTAGAATAATTATCTGAGCACCATTGTTTTTCTTGTTAGCACAAGTTTTGCTTGAGGACAAGTAAATGTTCAAGTGTGAGAGAGTTTGATAATGATAAAACACATTGTATATTTGACTCAATTTGAACTTGTTTTATTAGTTATTTTACCTCTATTTTCAGTGTTATGTTGGTATTTTGTCTGTTTTCCAGGTATTCGACCATATGAGAGACCTACGCGAAGAAACGAAGCAAATCGGATGGAAAATAAAGAAAAAGGAAGAAATTGCACTCAAGGCGTTCGACATGGAATTCTCCATAGAGAAATCCATAAGAATAATGACGTGTTCCACTCACTAACGATCAAAATACCAAGTCCTCTTCCCTTTAGGAAGGTGGCGTTCACCACCTTAGGATGGCGTTCGCCATCCTTTGTAATCTTCAGGCGGTTAAAAAGTGAACTTGGGCTTGGTCTCCACTTCCTCCATTCTTCCCTACATCTTCTCACACAAAATCAACAACCATCACTTGACATTTTTGGTTTCCTAAGCATTATAAATAACAATCACTTTTCACTTTTCAAGGCATCCAAGCTTAGCACAATCTTAGGCACTAAATTTACCGATAAAAGCTATAGCTCGTCACATCAGGGGGTTATAGCCCCAGTGAGAATTAAGTTTGTATTGATTTTGGAGCATTTACTTTGTAAAAGTTTAATCTTTCCGCCATTATATTTCTTTTCAAGCTTTCCAACAATCTACTTTGTACCAGATTCAAGTCTTCGATTGGAGCAGGTTTTATTTAATCGTATTATTTTTTTATTATATTGTATCTTTATTTATTTGCATGTTCTTTATTTACCTTAATTTTATATTTGTCAATTACATATTTTAATTCTTATTCACTATGCCTAATATGTCTAATTTCATGTTAAATTCAATTGCTTTATCGTTTGTTATAACCATGTCCATCTAAATCTAAAGTGTTGGAATGTGAAGACCGCCGATTCGACGGTACTCTAACTATTGTTCTTTTAAAAATATTTATGGTGATGTTTTTATTTTATTACTACTTTTCTAAACTTCATTTGATCGGTTACTACAAAAGTAGAACTGTAAATATGTTGGGTAAGATCGAAAGTCGTCTGATACCAAAGATTAAAGTTGTTAAATTTTTGAGTAATAAACATCGTGAAAGCACTTTATTAATTAATTAGAAAAGTTTTATATTTTCAGAAAATGGTTTTAAATCTATTTTCAGATGCGTTTATAAGTTTAAGATCTGATTGTTCGAGCGGAAGCCGAGAACCCTTTAAAGTCTAATTTTCCAATCAAAACTAGTTTTCTTCTGAGCAAAAGAAACTAATTTCTAAAAAAGGTCTATACTTCTTTAAAGAAAATCACAACCGGAGATTGTGAGAGCTCCTGTACAAATTAGAGAGTAAAATTCAGTTCTGATTACACGACAACGACAATTCTTTTTAATTAATTCTTTTTCGAAGGAGAAAATATTATCCTATAGGTAGTTTTAGGGACAATAAGAGTATCAACGAATTGCTGAGATTCACATTCCAGCATTGCACTTCTGAGTTACTACAAGTTTATTATTTTATTTTATTTTTGCACTCAACTCCTAATTTTTGAATCGCCTTAGATAAACATTGTAGCAATAGAAAATGATAGATTGACCATTTCAACACTCTTTATACTTACGAAAATATCCTATCAATGTAGGAGGCTCAGTAGCGGGCAATGCTTTCCTTCGCCTAAGATCTTGCGGGCACCAAGGAGGCGGCGCAATATGAAACTTCTCAAGCAACTGAGATTCGTCCTTCCAAGGTGTCTAGGAAGGAAGGGAATTTCTCGAGCCTTCAGGGATCCATGAGGAGAGACCAGGCGTGGAGGGGACAACAGATGATACAGTCCCTCCAACGCCTTACTTATGGCATAACCAAGCTTTCAATGTCGTGGATTTCACTGATTGCTATTTTTCTTTCTCGGAGAACTTCCTTGATGATTATCGGCTGCTCTCCGAATGTCCCCCGCCCAACTGTCTGCCTTGTCAGTGACCTAATTCGTGAGGTGCTTTTTAGTGGAGAAAACACTAAGGGAGAAATATTCTCTCACCCTCCAAGGGATATGATCTTGAGTGATTAATGTGAAAAAACGCACTTACGAAGACGGGGCAAAGTAGTTGAGGGAGAGACAAATTTATGACTTTATTAGTGGTGGACAAATTTTTACCCGTCTGATTTAAACTGACCGATTTGTTGTCTTTTTTGTGCAAATAAATCGGGCGGGTCAGTTTGATTCGATTGGTTAATTTAAGTAATGTAGGATTGTTTCGGTCGGACTCGGATAATTATTTTGGATCTGTCAAAAATTGAAACCGATCGAACCTAATTAATAATTTATTTATTTTTATTACTATATGACTCACTCAATATAAAAGTTACGTTCATAATATTATCAGATAATTATTATTTTTATGATCTAATTGTGACATTGTGTTCTCGGTAGAATAGATATGCATAATACATATGCAATATGAAATTTTAAATATTATTCTAGTTAGTAGTTTAAAGTATGATAATGGCTAAATTAATATTAAATTATATTTGAAATATTATCACATAATCCATCTGTCTCAAAATAAATGTCGCATTAGAATAAAAAGAAAATCATAAAATACTTGTCATTTTAGATTATTAATACAATTTTATATTTAATATTTTAATTGTACTCTATAATAAATATTTCTAATTTATTGTTTTCCCACTTAACATTAATATTAAT